GTCTATAAGGCCAAGTTGGTGGATTGTATTGTTTAGCTCTTCTGCATCTTTATTGAATTTCTTTCCAGTTGTTCTATCTTTCATTGAAAGTGGTGTATTAAAGTCTTCCACTATGACTGTGGAGTCATTTCTTTGTCTTTTCAATTCCTTTAAAGTCTGATTTATGTATTTTGGGGCTCTTTCATTGGGTCCATAGATATTTATTATGGTTATATCTTCTTAATTTTACAATGTCCTTCCATGTCTCATATAGTAGTTTTTGTCTTAAAGTCAATTTTATCAAATTAGTATAGCCACTCTTGGTTGCCATTTGCTTGATATATCTTTTTCCAACCTTTGACTTTTAATCTATTTTTGTCTTTGTCTCTAAGTTGTATCTCTTATAGACAGCATATTGATGGGTTATGTTTTCTTATCCAGTCTGCAACTCTACATCTCCTGGATGGTGCATTTGATCCATTAACATCCAGTGTAATTGTCAACAAGTAAGAATTGGCTTCTATTACTTTTTGTGTGTGTTTTTTCTTGGTGTTCCTGGTTTCTTTGTTCCATATAATTTTCTGTGCTGAGCTCATTATGTTTATGAATCATGTTATCATTTCCTTTGTTGCTGTTGTTTTAGTATTTGCCAAATATTTGTGCTTGTCCTCCTTTTTATTGTGATGTGAAGTGAAGGTTTATCATTTTTCTTTGAGGTTGCCATGTGATTTACAATTTTCTCCTTGAGTTTAGAACAGTCCATTCTATCTTGCAACTCTCTTGACTTGTTTACCATTTAGAAGTTCCATAACTACACTGTTTATTCCCTTTTTTTTTTGGTTTGTAGTTGTCCTCATTTGCCAATTAATGTCTCTGGTTCCCTGTTTACAATCTTTTAAACTTATTTTATTTTGGATACTTCCATAGCTGTGTTGGTTTCTGGGTTATGTCATCTTATATATTAATGGTCGGTTATTGTTTGCTGTTACTGGTTCTCTGTTCAAAAGACTCCCTTTAGTATTTCTTGTAAGGCTGGTGTAGTTTTAACAAATTGTGTTAATTTCTGCTTACCTGGAAATCTCCTAATTTCACCATCATACTTGAGGGACCATTTTGCTGGGTATATAATTCTTGATTGGAAATTTTTCTCTTTTGGGGATTTATATATACCATCCCATTGCCTTCTCGCTTGCATGGTTTCTGCTGAGAAATCAGAGCTTATTCTTATTGGTTGTCCTTTGTAAGTAACTTCTCATTTTTCCTGTGCTGCTTTCAGGATTCTGTCTTTGTCTTTAGTTTTGATGAGTTTGATGATGTTATGTCTATCCTGTTTGGGGTTTGTTGGACTTTCTGAATGGATATATTCTCCTCTTTCATCATAGCAGGGAAGTTCTCTTCCAACAGATTTTGGACAATTTTCTCAGTGGTTTTCTTTTTCTCTTCCTGTTCTGGAATTCTGTTGATACATAGGTTATTCCTTTTGATGGTATCCCACATGAACTTTAGGCTTTCTTCATTTTGTTTTGATTTTTTTTT